TCGTATCTGGTACTGCGTCTGATATTAGCGATGTATCTTCCGTACGAGGGGCAGTTGACATCATAGGCTGGATGATCGCAGGGGATGCTCCTGTTTGTCCTATAGTTATAGTCTGCGCAGTTGATACACGCGGGCTGCTGCGCTCGGCATTCACGGATGTCGTGTTCTTCTGTGCAGTATGCACAATAATGTTTGTTGGAGCACTCCTTTTGAGTGTGGCCGAGTTCCTGGCATCTGTAGCATCGCTTGGTGTTGTATAGAAGTCTGCAATTCGGTATGCCCGCCAGCCGAGGTAGAGTCTGGGAGCCTGCATGATTCGCTGGTAGACTGTAGGTTGGCAGTCAAGAACCCATTTAACTGTGTTTCTTCTATCTCGGAGGCGGTAGAGGATCTTGACTGTTGATTTGGTAGCATTGTGCTCCGATGCCAAAGCTCGTTCTATTTCGTGTTCCTGGACTTCATGTGGGACGCTGTGGATAGCAACTCTTGGAAGTCTTGTGGCGGGAAGCTTGGTCTCTACCAGTTCTTGTCCCTTTGCACTGTTTAGCGTATTTTTTAGCTTGTCAAGGTCCTCCTTCGTGTGACAGTCAACGGCTAGCCCTCCTTTTTGTATGTTTCTGACTGTGGATACCTTTACTCCTATCTTGGGGAGTGGGAATTCCTGGCTGAGTTTAGCCTTAAGGTCTTGACTGGTGGAGCAGGTGGCTTCCTTAGGATATAGTAATAGTGTGTGCCGGGGCGTAGTTATGTGACTAGTATCTTTAGCCTTAGCTGCAGCAGCCGCGTAGGATGGACCTCTGATCGGATTAGGCAGTGGTGCTACAGCGAACACGTTATGCCTCTGCTGGTCTGTTTGATACTGGTTATTTGCATGTGCTAATTCGCAGCAGAAGAGAGTGGAGGTATTGGTACTTGTGTCGGCTTTTGTTGGTTTTGCTGTGTATTCGGGGCCTTCTAGGGCTAACTTCTGTAGAGCCTCTAGTAGTGAGGTAAGAATACGTTCTCTGAGTTCTGTTCGGAGCAGAAATTTACCACCTCGGTAGGTAGTTGTTACTCTCTTGATTTCCTGGTAGAAGAGGTCTACCTTTTCAGCATGAGCTATGTCTGAGTTTAAGATAGAGGTCGGGTCTAAGGCGCTAGACGACGTTGTTATATCTTCGTCAGTAGATAGAGTAGATTTTAGTACCATGATATAATGCAGACAATGACAGTTAATATGCAGAATTACAATAAAAAGCGTACAGTTACATAATCTAAGGCAATACAGTTAAATATAAGTGCGTGCAATGAAAGCGCTGCCAACAGTTAGCGTGCACGGGTACAAGGTGACAAGTAAATGAGAAGTGAATGGAATTTACAGAAAACTCATTAATTTCCGTCACAAATGCTAAATGTACGGAACTGAATGCTGTGAAGAAACCAGCCACAGAGCCTATTTCTCATACAATGCATACAATACACAGAATAATGCATACAATACACAGAATAATTGCATATACAGAAATAAAATCTAAACGAACTTAACAAGGTATGGAAACAGAGTACAATAGATGGCTATCAGTAAATAAGCACAAACAAAAATTTACAGGAAGATGAAATTAAATAAGTATAAAAATTATAATAATGATGATAAAGTAATAAAAAGAAGTAAATATAATAGAATAAAAGTTAAATGCACAGTGAAAAACTAGAACAGGGTTAAAAATTTGGGTGTACTAGAGGCTGGCTAAGTACCGTGCAGCTAAGTTCAAATTGTAAACAAAAGCACGTGCAAGACTTATAGCAACTGCACTCTACTATGCGCGCATGCGCTAGAAAAGCTTGACAAGGAGTTGTCCGACAAGTTCAAAAGGCGACCTGTCCTGCTGGACCGACCCTCCCGCCGCTGTGTCGTAAAAATGAGCCGGGTGAGGATACCGGGGAAAGAACAAGGTCACACAGGAAAATTGCAATTAAATCTTACGGCACTCAGTCACTAATTAAGCTAGCAGGACGAATGATACACTAAAAGAAAGGTAATCTAAAAGCCTACCTTATCGTCTAGGAATGGTGTCGATATTCCCAATTAGACCGGAGATAAGGGCAGATTAATCCAGAAGTATGGCACTTTTATGTCGCACAATAAAAACACTGTAATAAATCGCACAAACACTTCACAATCACAGCACTGGTATCAATGAAGAGATCATATCTTCCACTTTCCAAAGGTACTAGGATTGAAATTGGATGCCTGTAGGTGCCAGAGAAATCTTAATAGATGTAAACACCACAAAACGGCACTTCACGGGGTCACGGTAACCCTCAGCAGATATCACGAGGTCGCGATACGAACAATGACTTCTGCTTTAAAGACTTAATTAATCCACCACTAATAAACGGAATCGCTCCAGATGCATATCAAATTGCTCAGCTTTTGAAGAACTTTAAATTGATATAACTCTTGTGTAAACTATATCAAAACTAACTTAAAATAATAAGGCGAAAAGCGAGCTCGCGAAAACACGTCGTACAGCATTGATGCTTCATTTTTTAATGGCAAAAAAGCCTGAATTGGCTCAATTTTTTTTGAGCCAAATGTAACAAAAAATTTTGGGCATTTAAAATTTAACGTTGTAGTTCTAAACTCGCCTGAGATAATATGGCATAAAAATAATAGCTTTATGTCCGTACGTACAAATGTCGCTCAAAAAGTCATTCAATTGGATTCGAGAGGGATCAGAATGGACATTTTCGTAAAAATATGATGCCCGAAGTTTTTCGCGATTACAAGACTTTCTTTACTTCGTACAATGAAGTAAAAATGATCTGACCATGAACAGAAATTACAAACTCAGAAGTGAATGAAAAAAATCCAATTTTTAATATTATATTTTCGCTGAGGTGTTGCAAGCCTTCCGTGGGCAAGAAGAATAGGAAGCTCAGATGAAAGCTTATAAGGTATTTCTCCTTCCTTTCTGCGTGAATTCGTGGTGTAAGGTGTAGCACACTCGGCGCGTATTCGAGAGGTACAGGGGTCGAGTTTCGACATGGGCACTGCTCATTTATTTCTTCAGTTCCTAATATTGAAAAATCTCGCCATCTGCTTACGATTCCGCTAGCATTTATGGCAAGAACTCAAAGGAGAATTCCAAATCTAAATTTAGATATCCATAGACACTGTCGTGTAGGGCCGAAACCGCTATGCAAAACCTGGGTTGACATCAGTTCAAAAACAACACAAGAAAAAATTTTATTGAACGCAAAAAAAAAAAAAAATGGCTACATACAATCTGCAAGAGAGAAACTATCTCCTTCAAAAATCAAATTCTATACATTACGGCGAGAGCAATTCGTGGCTCTCGAGCTGCGTTTTTAACATTGCCAACGATTTAATTATTTAATAAAGATTATTTACAACTATTGAAAACGTGTTTGTAAGTTAAAAAAAAATAATAATTTTCAGCTTATTCTCACGAGACATCCTTGTCCATTTTAATCTTCAGTCTCTTCTTCTTTTATGTGACCTTATCACAACACAGACTACGCAGAGTAATTTATTGCCCTTAATTGCCCTTACAGTAATTGTTTGCTCAGGTGCTCGGATTATCTGCCTGAATTTAACTACCGGCTAGTATAATGCAAGGAAGAAGATAGGAACTCCTATCTTAGAATAGCAAACCTAGTAACGTAATTAAATTATTAAACGTAGTGGCGTAACCTAGTAGTAATTTGCATTCAAGCGGGAAAACGAAAACGGACAAATAACAGTAAAGATTCCAACATAAAGTAGCTGGTTAAACAAATTCAAGAAACCTCACAGTTTTATGGCACACATGAAAAAGAGAGCGATAAAACTAGAGAATATATATCTTATATCATATAATTTCTTGAAACTTGCACTTTCCAAAATAAAAAAGACATTTGTGCAAGAAGATAAAGGACTCCTATGCAACCAACCTTTTTTACCAAGGCTCCAGCTACTAATGTTTGGGTGTTTTTATTAGCGTACTTTTCATAAGCTTACCAATAACCGAGTGCACGAAAAGTTCTCTGGATGCGTTATTTCATATGTAGAGCCCGAAGTCACTGTAGAGTTATTAGTTTATTTAGAAGCAAGAGATGTGAAAAATCTGTGGTACCCTCGACGGAACTCTAACCTGGACCTCTTGAATACTCGCAGAGTGTATTACTATTACAACATGAAAGCATGCTTGTAGGAGGGAAAAAATACCTTTTATAGAGAAAACGGTGACGTGAGCTGATCGCCAAAATCGTGTGATTTATCAGCTCTAGTCATCTTTTCTTTGAAGTACTGAAGTCATTCGACTCCCCCAATAAGCCTAGAACAATGCAATAACTGAAGGATAACATACTACGAGAAGTAATTAATATGGAGGCGTATGTAATTAGTATAGAGTAATTAGTATGAAGTAATTAATATGGAGTAATTAGCATGGAGACAAGAAGTAATTAGTTAGACCACCGAATGTCAGTGATTTTTGAACTTCTGAGTGCTAATTATTAAAATCAGTTGTGATAGCCACCTCAATAACATTACATTTAATTGTTAATTTCATCAGTTCTAGTTTCATTAAATAAAAAATTTTGTCAAAATTAGAATTCATTTGGTTTTGCATACAGTTTTAAAACATGGATTTTCAATCTTAAAATCCCTTTATTTACTCGACCCTAAGGATTTATTCTTTAGATAATGAATTTATAATTAATTCAAAATAAAATAACATTTGAGTTGCTTCAATTTTAACTCTAAGACACAAATTGTATGGTATAATAATTCTAACTATATGGACGTAAACCAACTCAGATTCATGAAATATTAAGCTGAGTCCATACAGCCTGAACTTTAATTGTAGCGAATGCTCCTTATGCGGATGTGGTCACATAATAACACGAAATTACTCTACTTTATAATGCATTTTCTAAGGAAATGCTTCATGTGATCAGATGCATTGGCATTTCACATGAATGATTTAATGCTTTTGAAACGGAAATTATTTTACCTGAAGCATAGAATCCAAGCAAGGCCAGCACCAGAAAGCAGCTCTTCAAGAGCGCCATCTTTATGATGTTGCCGTTTCGCACGATCTAAATGTCCACTCTGCGCTCACTACCATGCAAGCAAAATTTAGGCTGCTCTAAACTAAAATATGATTGTTTTATGTAGACCAGATCGAAATGATTATCCTAAACATTCTTCAAACGAGTAGAAATTCCGGCTGCTGCGGGTGTAAAACTGTTAAAAATTATCCGGAGTTTTCATTACTTAAAGCTACCTTATCTTTGTAATTATCTCCAGACGGTGAATAACAATATCCCCGATATGTTTTAGTTTACGACATATCTTGCGAATCAAATATCACAGATTGTGTAATGAGACGGTAATAGAATAATCTTTCAAAATCTTTTACGCAGATAACGTGGTATTGTTTCTATCTATGAATACGATAAACAGCCTAAACAAAAAGTGATTTTCTGTTGATAAATTTTATATTTTACGAAGTCATATGGTAATAATTCAGTTCCGTTTACAGAGGCCATTTGAACATTTTTTAAACATTTTGTTTGTAGTTGCAGAAATATTTTACCTAAACGTTTTGTGTTTTAAATGCTCTAACCGATAACTATTATCCTTCACTCTCTTTCTGTACCGTAATTTCAAAGCCAATAAAGCCTATTGTAGTATCCGAAGAGGTATTTTATCCCATTCCTCTTGAATAACTTTCTAATGTCCAAACAGGATTGTAGGTCAAAGTTTGAACCATCCGCTTTTTAAAAGTCCAAAAGAGCAAAAATCTAAGTGTTGTCAAGAGATTTCGTAGGGATATAAGTGAAGGGTATATACAACCCTGATAACCGTTCCTTGTTTCATTTTTTTCGAGGAAATTAGCAGTGGATTTTGAAGTATCGCTGCTTGCTTTCTCTGGATGCAGTTCTACTGATTGATTGATGGATCTGTGGGTAAGGAGAAGCTATTTCGAATTCGAAAATTGGGTATAAAATATGTTTCTGATAATATGCCTAGTTGATCTTAACGTTCGCTCCGCTCTCTTTATTTTTAATTTGCCGTTATATGAAAAACCAATAACAATGATAAAAATTTTGAAAACTTTCTTTAGACTCCTTTTGAGTTTTTCTCCTCTTTGCTAACAATAAAATGCTGTCTTTTTACTTTAATACATCCAAGATTCATTTATTGTGACAACATTTTTAGTCCAAAGGGGCTTTGTTCCTGAAGGAGTATTATTTTCGTTTTGCGATTTTGCGTTCAATTACTGTAAATGTCCGTTTCACTTTTCAAACTGTTGCCACCAAATGTTAGAGTCCTGCATTATATTTGAAGAAATTAAATAATGAAAAATCTGCATAAATGTATGTATATCTCCCGCATTGTGATAAAACAACGGTACATAGAGCCATCGAATTTTGAATTACGTGATCCTCCTACGAATATGGACATGTGGAAGAAAAAGTTGAAATTTAGAATTTGTTTTATTATTGATTTCACATTTTGTAAAACTTTAACGAATTTTTGATGAACAAACTCAAGGATGTCAAAGCGAGCAATGGCAACGCTCTACGGGGGGGGGGGGGGAATTCTTTTTATCTCCAGCGCGCGGAACTGTGTACCGGAAATTCTAAAGTAGGCTCATTTTAAAATTATTTTGCGGCATTGCTATTGGACTGAATTTTATAGTTTAAGTGCGAAGAACATGCTATTTAATAAATAAAGGTAACACACACAACGTTAAAAAAAAAACGCTCCTTTGGATGTCATTTAAAATCTGAAAAAACTTTCAGATTTTTTTTTTTTTTTTTTTTTTTTTTTTAGTCCAAAGGGATTTGAATCCCGAAGGACTATTAGTTTTTTCGTTTTTGGCATTTTGCGTCGGACGGATAAATGTCGGTTCACTTTTCAAACTGTTGCCATAAAATGTTAGAGTCCTGCATTATATTTGAAGAAATTAAATAATGGAAAATCTGCGTAAATGTATGTATATTTCGCACATTGTCATAAAATAACGGTACATAGAGTCATCGAATTTTGAATAACGTAATCCTCCAACGAATATGAGCATGTGGAAGACCAAATTTGAAATTTTGAAATTTGTTTTATGATCGATTTCCTATTTTTTAAAACTTTGACGAATTTTTGATTAACAAACTCAAGGATTTCAAAGCGAAGCAATGGCAACGTTGTGCAGAAAAAACATTTTTATCTCCAGCGCGTGAGTCTCTGTATCGGAAATTCTAAAAATAGGCTCGTTTTAAAACTATTTTGCGATATTGCTGTTGCACTGGATCTTATGGTTTAAGTGCGAGGAACATGATATTTAATAAAGAAAGGTAACACACAAAATGTTTAAAAAACCGCCCCTTTGGACGTAATTTAAAATCTGAAACATTTCAGATTTTTTTTTTTTTTTTTTTTTTTTTTTTTTTTTGTTGTTTGTTTATTTACATTTTTTTATCCGGATAAATGTTTCTAACAAAGAGCTGTGCAGCACCTTCTGCGTTCGACGATTTGTCGTAGATAAAGACTATGCACATTAAGTTTTATGGCCCTTTCAAGATCCAAATCGGAATTAATCACTTTCTTTACATCTGACACTGAGCATTTTAATGATTTTGCCACTGTCCTTTGACTTCGCGAATTTCCTTTTAACATTTAACATCCTACCTTTGCAACATTTGAAATATTCTGTTTTTTCCTTGAATAGGTATTTGGAACAATATTTTCACATGCAGCCAAAATTTGACCTTTTTTTCTTTCTTTCATGTGGACACAAAGCTTAAATTGCGCCGATACTTCCTAATTTTGGGGATAAGTCATAATTCTAGCTGGAGCGTACTCGAGTACTAAATAAAAAAGCACTTTTTTTATGTAACTGAACAACAACTTCATTAGAAATTTGAGCTCAAAAATTTTACTTTTAGTAATAAGATTATTTTAAATTTATAATATTATTTTACATAATATAATAATTATTTTATTTTAAAAATAATTTAAGGTTATTTCGCTTATTAAATTTTAATTTATCTCTTTACATTTTATTAAATTTTAATTTGAAGTACTTTAACTATTAGTATTTAATTATTTACTTCTTTTAATGAATTTAATAATTAATTATTTACTTCTTTTAATTCAATTACTTAATTTTTTAATTATTAAAGATTTTATTAATGATTTTATTTATTTATTTCATCTTGTTCCTCTTTCCTGACGGTCTTCCGCAGGGCTCCGGCACGTCTAATTTTAGAAACCAAGCCCTGTGTGGGGAGTATTACCTATCCGAGCTTTACATATCGGAAACCTGAGGCTTTCACAGCATTTTTTAGTAACTAGGTGCTAACAATTTCCTTGGGAAAAAGCATAAATATAGCCTTTTAAAAGCGTCATTTTGTATGAAAACAAAACTGTGAAGTAGCAGACGATTGTTGTTGGTACTGTTGACTAATACTCACTTGTCTGAACTATAGTCAGTCCAAGTCCACGAAATACCTCGTCGCAATTAACGCAAAATACGCCTCTCGTTGGCAACAGCGTTGAGCACTTTACAGATCACAGTTCAGTTCCGCCCCCAATTTTGATAGAGAGCAAGCCGAGTGTACGGGTTCGAGGAGCTCCTACCATCAACCTCTCGAGAGGACTTTCAGCTCTCCATTTGTTTAGAGTTCCCCCATGCCGCACGGACACTATACAAACATCCATGCCATCTTTGAGATTCGAACCCAGTCTCTTTGGCACGGTAGTCAGCGACGCTAACCACTATACCGGCTGGGGGGGGACAGCAGATACTTTCAAAAATGTAGTTGCATTTAAAATAAAAGGAAAGATTTCCTATGACCCGGTTTTTTTGTAACAAAGCAAAATTGTCAAAACAATGTGCGAACAGCCTGTATATGGGACGATGGTAGCAAAAAAAAACAAAATGAAGTAATGTTGTAAATACAGACGTAAATGGCAGCGAATTTATTATGTAATAAGAAAACACAAATATTCCTTTTGGCGACTTATATTGTTACGGATTTGGGTATCTATTTAGCTATTTTTAGTAGAATTTGTAATTAAAATTGTTTTATATTCCCGAGCAATGCAGCGCGAGACTTATTTGAAGAGAAAGGCTACGCCGGAAAAATTAAAATAAGGAGCATGCACATTTAAAATTTATTTATTAAACATCATGTGTTGCCATTGCCAAATTCCAAATTCGGGCTTGCAGATGCCCATATTCGAGTGGAGGACTATGTTAGTCAGAATTCGATGTCTTTAGATACCGTTATTTTTTCACAGTGCGAGAACTCATAAACTCATAATGGAAAAACTGAAGGCTTTGGTGAAGGACTTTTGTCATGTCAAACCTAGTGCACTACTGATTCCTGCTCAGTCTTCAATACTAACTGTCTTACTCCTGGGTATCTCGTTGTATGGTACTAGTGCTCTTGTGCGGCATGTTAGTGTGATATTTAGTGTGTAGTAACTTATGTGTGTTTATAATATGTGTGTGTATGTATCATTGTAGAGCTGGTCTGTAATCAAGAGTAAAATCAATGAAAAATGTTTACCTATTAGTGTGAAATGTTTATGTATTGTAGAGACATTAGATAATTTCGAAACAGAAATCATGGAAAATGAGCAATGCCCTCGACGGGACTCGAACCACGGACCTCTCGAATACGCGCCGAGTGTGCTGACCATTACACCACTAAGGCATGCTAAGAAGGTGGGAGAAATACCTTATAGTACGTATGTGGAACAAAGTACGCATGTGTAAAACAAACATTATTATAGCAGTGTATTTCTAGTGTATAAACCTAGGTGTACATAAAATACACATGGTAATGTTTAATTATTGGCGCATAATATTTATGTTAAATACTACAGTGTGTGCATCAGTATACACTTACTGTATGTGTAAAATGTTTATTAGTTTAAAATGCTCACATTTTCAGTATACAGCATCAAAAAAAGTTTCTATTAAGCTCCTGACGCCGTGCTTCTGGGGCACCAAAGAAATCTTGAGTTGTTGCGAACTCCAGACGATACCCAAAACCGTCCTAGTAAGCCATCCGGGTGTCCGGACCCGATCTCGGCTGTCACCTCTAATCAAGAAGAGCATTAAAAAAGAGCATATATCTTACAAAACGTACAGTTCGTAAAGAAGCATAGTTCGTAAACTGGAGGATCGGAAGAACAAAAGACGAT